TTCCCCCATACACACACATCTACAGAAAATCTCAAAAAGTCTTGACAGCATGATTCGTACTAAATAACTACCTGTAGCTATCTATATATGATCATCTCTTTTTTTACAAGAAAAATTAAAAATTCAGTCACATTGTTTTATACTGAAGGAAATCAAATTAGAAGACAAAAGTGCACTGTGCCACTGTAATGCTTAATGCAAGAGTCACAGAGAAATTTAAAATTTAATTAGAAGTGGTTATATAGTAAATAAAATTTACCTAAATAACCAACTCAACATGAATGATTATCTAGGAATGTAAATTTATTTAGGTTTGAGAGGGCCCCTTGAGCTTTATGACAAAGAAAGGCTTCTAAAAGTACTGTCATTTATATTTATCATATGGTAACAAACAATCCTAGAGATATGTACTTAAAAATATTAAAGAGAGACAAATGAGTCTAGACTACACAAGGTCGCTGCAGTCATAAAACATAGCAAAGCCTTCTCCTAATGTGAAAAACATAGCTTACAGCTTTAATTTGCATTAATTATAAATCAGTAACATGCTTGTGTGGTTTGAAAAAGCGAGAAAAATTATTAGTTCTCTCAGTCACTTTACGCTGTATTAAGATGTCTGGATGAGTCATTTAGTATTTAATGAGTAGCAAGCATTATGAAGTCAGAAATAAATGTGTACTATGTATCTTTGAATTCATTGCTGCAATTGGAATGAGACACTTGCATATTATGACAGGATTATTACCAGCAATCATGCACAGATATGCTGGGGATGCAAATAACGTCATTAGCAGTGTATTGTAATGAAATAAGGTGTATTATCATTCTTTATGGTGACACAAACCATATTAGCTATGCTCCAACTGGATTTGTAGAACATAGGGAAGTTGCTTTGCTTGGGTGTTCATCACAACTCTCCAGTAAACTAAATGGAAATAATGCTGAATCAATATTAAAAAAAAAAAAAAATCCTCTAAGTGCTACAGAATAAAATAACCTTTAAGGAAAATCATATCACAAACAAAACAGTAAGCCCTGAAATTATTATCTTAAACTATTCAGCAACAAGTAATTTGAAAGCTGCTAAATAAAAATGACCGTCAGGAATCTATACTCTTCATTTAATGTCAATATACATATTTCAGTAACAACCATTGATTTGCTCGTTGCACACAAAAGCACAGCTAAAGGTTTAACAGTAGTTTCTCTTCTCCTTTTACTTCCAACAAGATCATAATTTATTAGATGGACATAGGCACTGCTGAGGGCTGTAGAAAGAAAGAAAAAATTCTGTTTATCTTAATCATAGGTCAATAAAAATCCACTACGTTACCAAAACAGGGAAGTTACATATTGTACTTGACACAGCACAACGAACTATGTCCTGGAAGACTCAGCTCTATGTTGTAGCTATCATAAAACCAGTGCATGTACTTGAAAGAGAAACTCGTTTCTTCTAAGAGCAGTCACTGATGGTTTAGTTGCTTTTCAGAACACAATCAGTGACCAAGACTTACTTGCCAATTCAAGGACTCTGACAAGAAAGCGTCATGTTTGATCTCCTAAGGTTTTGTTAGCAGACATAGACAGACAACCGCTGGCAGGCAAGACCAACTGGTACACAACTGTATTTTGTTGATGGGGAAGAACCAAAGGAGTCCGCAGGAATGGCATACAGACTCTACAGTGAACTGGAGTTTTATATAAACAGCCCACTACAACAGAGATTTGAAAAATCACAATAAAAAGCTTAGATTTTGCAAGGTGCTCAGTACTCTGACTCCAATCCAGCAGAGTTTATGCAGATCCAGCCTGGGTTAAACTCCGTAGCATTACTCACAGGCTTCAGAACAAAGCATGTGCTTGAATGTATGTCTTATACAGGAACACAGTTCTACACCTTAAGCAGTATTACAGTTTGGAAAACCAGGAAATTAGTTGCCATTAAAAATGATAATGTATTTAAAACTATTGCATTAAAAACCAGTAATAGTTCAAAATAATGGGAATTGTGTTTCAAATACGTAACCAGTATATAACAGGAATTAGTAACAGTATCAGACATACTTCCTTTCTTGGTAAGGAATTTTGTAAAGGTTAGTATGACAAGCTTCTAAAGTTTTAATATGCAGTTTGTCAGTTTTATAAGAACATCTGTGTATACACATTCACAGAAGCATAGGTTAACAAGGAAAAAAGGAATGAATCCATCTGGATTCAATTCTGAATTTGGTATCTACAGGATGTGCTAAGAGCATTTGATTTTTACTTAGGCAGGCACAGTAAGGATCAACTATCTCTAAATTCCTGTTAAAACAAAACTATTTTATTCAATACCTTATTAGCACCTTTATTCTTACGTTGTTATTTCTAAGTATTCCTAACATAAATATCTACAATTTGCCTTGCATTAAAGCAGAATATCTTTATTTTTCACTGCTAGAAGAATAAGCTGAAAAAATATTAATGGAATTTACAAAACCAAATAAAAATATAAAAGCCAACTCTTCTCTTGGTTGAAGTAGGTATAAATGCACTAAAACTCTTAATTTACAAAATGAAATAAGGTAAAACCATGACTAGTCTCACTGCACATAGGTACTGCCTCATAAATAGAGTATACAAAATATACTAAGCAAATATTTAACAGTCAGCTGCAACACATGACTTCCTTACAGTTAGAATACAAAACAAAGATTACTATCCAAGGATTACTGGATTACTATCCAGGTTAGCATCCAACATGCCACTACACAGTAATTGATAAAATAATAAAGAACAAGACATACTGCTTGATTCGACTTGCAAAGTTAACCCTGGCGTAAAGATTAAAAATGGAAATTGAGCCTAATCTCTTACGACTCACTGTTGCAATGTTTCTAGCAGACACCTGAGGTTTGGAATACCCCAGGGTGAGCTGAGGTTATGCAGCATCTACCTCAGCGTAGACTTCACTGAATTTGAATACAACTATTAGGACCCACAGGCAACAAGGTGCTTCAGTCTCCATTGAAATTTAACTATATTTGTTCTTATTTGTTTGGGAGATATGTTGCAAGGGAATTTGGGGTCATTTAGAAATTGCTTTTATCACTGAAAAACATTTGAACAGTGTCTTCCAAAAGGGGGAGAAAACCCATTCATCCTTTTTTAAGGCAATGCAAGTAATTGTGTGCCTTGAGATTTAAGGGACCTTTGATAAGGTTGGGTTTTTTACTTAGTATCTTTTCAAACATTTATAAGTGTTGAAGAGAACGTCTGAACTCCATTTAAGCTTCAAATTTAAGATATTTTCTTCAGATCCTAGATGGAATATTGCATTCAGCTCTTTGGTCCCCAGTACAAGACAGCCACGGACCTGTTAAAGCAGGTCCAGAGAAGGGCCACAAAAATGGTCAGAGGGCTGAACACTTCTCTGACAAAGAAAGGCTGAGAGTTAGGGTTGCTCAGCCTGGAGGACAGAAGGCTCTGAGGAGACTCTA